CACAAAAATAAAAAATTTCAATTTTGCTGAAAAGTGAATCTTTAAAATCCAAACAAACAAACTATTTATATTTCACCTTCTTTTTTCTTTTTCTTTCTAAATTCCTCCTAAATTTATAAACCAAACACTTTGTAAAGGTTTTTTCCTCTTACTTTGACCTCTTTATGTTTTAAATTATTTTTAACTTCCTCTATAAATTAATTTTTGTTTAAAATTAAACAAAAAAATCACATTAGTTGCTACATGATATAAAAATATATTTATATATATATATATATATATTGCTTGAATATATTGTTATATTAAGATTTGAGTTTGTATAAAAAAATGTGAGTTATATATAATAAAATATTTATATACACTATTATCTCTCAATATGTATTGTTCCATATAATTTTAACATATATTAACTTTTACAGAAAATTTAAAAAAAAAATTAAAAAAATTTAAGTCAAAGTGATAAGAAAAAAAAAGGACAATTAAAAAAAAATTCCAAGTTTGAGCACTATTAAAAAATAAATCCTAAATGTTTAATTTTATCAATTTAAATTCTAATTTTTTTATTTATTTTCAATCTAAACATTTATCTATTTTTGTTAAGTAAAATTGACAAAAAAAATATTTTATTATTAAATTGATTGTTACTATTAGCACCCATTTATTACTTTTGACTCTCCATTTTTTTGAATTTCCACTAATAAATTTTAAAATCCTTAAAAATCCTCGCCTCCCCAAAATAATACTAAAATTACCCTTTTAAAAATTTCACACCCACTAAAATGCACACTCTTCAACAGATCTCTAAAAACCATTAATCTCCTGAAAATCTAAAGTTCAAATCTTAAGTTCACCGTAAAAATCTTCCCTTGACCACGTTTTTCACTCTCACGGTAAATATTCGTCTCATTCTTTCTTACGACAGTATCTCTTTAGCCCTCTACAATTTTTTCTTTTTTTTAGAGTTCTTGATCTGAAACCTATATCCTCACTCTTCCTTGCAACACTTATTAGAGGCTTTGCTAGGTGGCATTTGGGTTTCAAACTTCCATAAAAGTTGAAAAGAATGTTCGTCATCACCCTAAATAACAATATAAATTAAATTTAGGAATTTGATCGATAATACATGTCGGAACAAAATTCATATATCCAAAACTAAGTGCCATTTTGAGAACATGGTAAAAAGCCACGTTTTTTGACATTTTGTCCAAAAACGTGGCTGCCAAAAACGCCAAAAAAATCATTTGGCAAGTGCTAAAAACGCAGCCCTAAAATTACAAATTAGGGCCTATGAAAAATAAATAAAAAAATAACTCTCTTATGTTAGGTAAGGGTATTTTGGTCATTTTAATTTGATTTGACACCATAAATAAATATTAAACTAAAAAGCAAAAAGCCACTTTTTACTAACTTCCCAAATCACTTCCAAAAAAGCCAAAAAACTTGGTAAAAAGCCAAAAGCCAGTTTTTTACCAACTTCCCAAAACAACCTTAGATGTTGAACATATGAATATTGTTCAATTATCCATTGTCGAATTAATGTCTTTAAATCGGTCTTGTGGTGTCATTTTTTTTATTATATGTTTGGGAGTTCAGTATTAAAAAAATGTCAAACTATTTTCATCATTTTGTGTTCATGTTTTTGAATGAACCTACCATTACAAGGCCAACATTCTTTCAGTTATGAACATTATCAAAGTTATGAACCTCTTCTAAATTTACATTGTTGTACTTCATTCGTTTCATAATATTGTAATTGTCGGAAAAACTTCTACTTATTGTTATTGTCGGAAAAGTGTGTATAATCGAATGGTTGCCACTGTTGCTATCGAAATATTGTCGCCATAAGGTTTTTAAAGTTTTGAATATGGGTAAGTTTTGATGGTTATGAAGTGTATGGATGGTGATAGAGGTGGGTACTCATATAAACTCTATCTTATAATTAAGTGGGTGTACGAGTTTAATTGTGAGATGGGTTATTTGCCTTTTTTTTATTTTTACTGAATTTTGTTATTATTCTAAGCAATTTTTTTAATTTTTAGATACACCTAACATAAATACACTTAAAAAAGTATAATATTTGTGAATTTTTTTTAAAAAATTTACTAAATATAAAAAATACAAAAAAATACGAAAATTTAATATATATATTTTATA